CTGGTATGTGCAATATTATACAACTTAACTATTAAGAGTGTCCACTGCTTGGGACGTCTGGGTGGCTCAGTCCGTTAAGTGTCCAACTGTTGGTTTTGGCTTGGGTCATGATCTAGGGGCGGTGGGATTGAGCCCTGAGTCAGGCTTTGCGCTCAGCGTGGGGTCTGGTTGAGATTATCTCTTTCTCCCTCTCCTTCTCCCTCTGCTCCTCCCCTGCCCCTGCACGCACACTTTCTCTCACTCTCTCAAAATAAATAAATAAAATCTTTAAAAAAAGTGTCAATCACTCATACATACCACAATTTCTATATACATTTGATTGGTTTTTCCATCTTTATGAGGTATAATTAATATATAAAAATCTGCACATAATAAATGTATGCAAATTAGTGAGTTGGGACATATGCAATGAATATGCTTATTACTTGGATTGTGGTGATGGTAACATGAGTGTATACATTTGATTATCGATATATATTTAAGTTTAGGTTGTTCCCAATTTGAGACTATTATGAGAAATGGTGCTATCAACATTCATGTCTGTCTCTTGGTGCACATATGGAATAATTAGGTTTTTATGTGTTCAAATTCAATAGATGCTGCCAAATATATTTCACTTAGTACTGTCAGTTCTTTATCTAATTTTATCAGTTCTGAGGGATTACTGGTGGTCTCTAAGCTGGAGTTCAGTTTTTAATTCCCCAATGACAAATGATGTTGCTCAAGAGGTAAGCTCTTTTTGTTTTTTAAAGATTTATTTATTTATTGGAGAGAGAGAGAGTGTGAGCATGTGAGTGGAGGGAGGGGGTAGGGAGAGAATCTTCAAGCAGACTCCCCACTGAACATGGAGCCTGTCCCAGGGCTCGATCCCACCACCCATGAGATCATGACTTGAGCCAAAACCAAGAGTGACAGCCAGCCAGGTGCCCAGAGGTAAGCTCTTAATAGAGGCCCTGGCTAGTACTCACCATTATACAAGCCACCATGAACCCCCTACCTAGAGGACAATTAATTCCTGTTCATGTTTGCTGAATGACTAAAATGAATCACATTCAAATTGCCCAATTAAATTTTTTTGGTAAGATTCTATCACTTATGCTTGAGCTTTCTTGTTGAAAAAGGAATAGTATGTGGTGGTAGGGTGGGGAATTATTGAATATTTCGCTTTGTTGAAGCCTTTTCACTTTTTTTCCCCCCCTATTTACCTGTTTGTAGAAGTGATAGTCAAAAGACTTAAAAACATGTATGGCCAGACCATCAACTAGTCAGAAAATTCTGGCCCTAAAGCAAGAGCACGGTCCTGTCAACACCCATCATCCAAGCAGAATAGGGTCAGGTATTAATTCTTTGGGTGTTAGATCTTAGGGTGGGTGGGGAGGGGGCTTCTCAGAAAGAGATTGGGACACTTAGGAAGGTTAGCGACAGAAGCTAGTTACCAATCTGTATGGAACTGTTTTAATATTTGAACACTGGGTATGGCCTTGTGGATGTCTGCTAGCTGAATAGCAGGCTCATTTGTTCTTTGACCAAGTGACTCCGTTTATGACTTTAGTATTCTATATCTCAAATGCTTTTAATTTATCTAAGGAGACAAATTATTTTGCTCTCAATGAATATCCTAATCATCTTTACTTGGGCATTTTTCGGGAGATAGGAGTGATGTATACTTGGCTTGCAAACTTTAAGCTATAAATAGCACTCCAAATTTTCTCATTAAGTTTAACACATCTTTTGATCAGACTACCGTTTCATTTCTTGGAAGCGGCATTGCTTTACTGAATCCTGGCCTGACCATTACTGTAGAAAATGGAGGCTAAAAGGAAAAAAATTTAATGAAGAGATATAATAATCAAATCTCCTTACATGTCATTTGGTATTTCATTTTGTTTCAATGCACATTTATTGAGATCATTTACTCGATACAAAGGTAAGTGTTGTAGAACATGCAAATATGAATAAGACGAAGTCCCTGAACTTCAGAGCATGCAGAAGGAGGTATAATAGGGAAGCCTAAAGCAGGATAATGGGAAAGGAAGAGTATTCAGAAGTGGTAAAAATGTGTCTGGAGTACAGACACATGCAGGAGACAAGTCTGAAAAAGTGGAATGTTAGTCAAGATGCTTTCAGTTGCAAGTGACACAAACCAACTCAAACTATCTCTCTCTTTTCTGTTTTTAAAGATTTTATTTATTTATTTATTTGAGAGAGAGAGAGAGCACATGAGAGGGGGAGGGCCAGAGGGAGAAGCAGACTCCCCACTGAGCAGGGAGCCCAATGCGGGACTTGATCCAGGGACTCCAGCATCATGACCTGAGCCGAAGGTAGTTGCTTAACCAACTGAGCCACCCAGGCACCCTCAAACTATCTCAAGCAAACTATGATTTAACTGGTGGTATAACTGTGAGGTCTAAGAGATGTAAATAGATAGGTAACCCAATGGATTTGGGGTGATAACAATGTGTCAATGTAAGTTCACTGATTGTAACAAATGTACCACCATGGTGCAGGATGTTAATAGTGGGGGAGGCTATGCACATGTGGGGACAGGGGGATTTGGAAACTCTGTAATTCCCACTCAATTTCCCTGTGAATCTAAAACTGCTCTACGAAAAAAGTCTGTTAAAAAAAATAAAGAAAGAAAAGATAGTGGGACTGCTGTTAGCCGACAACCATTTGAATGGAGACATGAACTTAAATATTTTACATTTAAAAGAGTAAAATGTTCCCTGCTGACCTAATGGAGGCCTGAGAGCCTGCCCAGCTGAGATTGTTCGTAGCTGTTGACTTTTCATCCCTTTTCTGGGATCACCCCCTTGGTTTGGTGATATGGATGTGTATTAGTGATAGTGAATACATTCAGACATTCTGCAAATGTGACTCTTTAATGCATTTTATGTGCCAGACCCTGTGCTTAATGCACAGCAGGGAAACAATGACCATGCACAGGCCCTTGCCCTCAAACTTCACAGAACCATAGAGGTTTTCTCAAAGGGTAGTCCGCTGATCACCTATATTGGAAGCAATTTGAGGCAGTTGTGCAAATCACAAAATTCAGGACCCTATTATAGACCTTCAGAATAAAAATCTGTGGATATGTGACCCAGGAATTTGCATTTTTAACAAGTATCCAAGAGCCTTGACACTCAAAATATAGCATCACCTGGGAGATCATTAGAGGTGCAGAGACCCCACCACAGATGTCCTGAATCAGAATCTGCATTTTAACAGGATCCTCATACATTAATGTTTGGGTTTGAGAAGTACTTTTCTAGAAGATTGTTACGTGCTGAAGTTTAAAAATCACTGGTCTAGGAAGACTAATGAGTATATAGATGACTTTAACAATGTGATGAGTGCATTTATAAAGGAACATGTAAGTTCCTCTGGATGTGCATAAAAGTAACAGGTTTCCCTGCCAGAAGTTTCCAGGACATGGGTGATAGCACCCGCTTTTTAAAGAGCAAGGAGTTAGGCTAACGTGATGTGGCAGGGGTGAGAGGTCTCATCAGAGGAAACCACTGTACAGAAGTCCTGAGGCAAAAGAGAACACCGTTTGTTTAGGGAACAAGAAATATACCTCAAATTGCAGTGTCTTGGTTCTGTTTTTGTTTTTAACTTACTTAAACTCTGAACATCAACGGAAGGAGATACTTTTTTAAAAATTCCATGGTTGGGATGCCTGGGTGGCTCAGTCGGTTGAGCAGCCCGCTCTTGACTTTGGCTCAGGTCATGATGTCAAGGTCCTGGGATCAGCTCCCCACCTCCTAACAGGGCTCTGTGTTCAGCCGGGAGTCGGCTTGAGGATTCTCTCTCCCTCTGCCTCTCCCCCTACTTGCACTCACAAGGGCATGCTCTCTCTCTCAAATAAAATAAATAAATCTTAATAAAAAAATATTTTTTTTTAATTTTTAAAGACTTTTATTTATTTATTTGAGAGAGAGAGAAGAAGAAGGAGCATGAGAGGGAGAAGCAGGCTCCCTACTGAGCAGGGAGTCCCAGGGGGTTGGGAGCTCGATCCCAAGACCTGAGCTGAAGGCAGATGCTTAACTGACTCAGCTACTCAGGTGCCCCAGAAAGATTCTATGGTTACGGATTTTTCTCATTCATGTTTAAAGGAAAGGGGCAGGGATCAGATTTTCGATTCCTTTCATGCTGCTTTCTCTAGCCTCCTTTGACTTTTTGTTTGTTTTTGGCATCAATTTCTTCACTCATTCGTTCATTTGAAAGGTGCTTTGTGCCCGGTGCGGGGAAAAGAAATAGTTCCTGCCCTCAGGGAGTTTATAGGTGAGGCTAGGGTAGGGGTGGAGAAGCCAATAAAATAAGGAAAATAAATGCGTAATTATAAATTGAGAAAAAGGTTAGGAAGTGTGCTATGATAGGAAATAAAGCAGAGAAACTTCAAGGAAAGGCTTGTCCAGCTAGACCAGCATATCCTCTTGAAACGGCCCGAATCCCTGTGGGTTTGGTGGGATGAGATGTCTTACTAAGGAGCACCCAGGGGCCAGTTGGTGCATATATAAACACAACACACACACACACACACACACCCCACTTTCTGTTTTGCTGGGAATCCGAATGGGGGTCGAAGACCTCCCCTCAAAAATCACCTCCTTTCAACCTGCTGTCTACAACAGGACAGGACAGCGAAAATGGATTTTCTCCGCAGCTCCAAACCTGAAATGAGAAGCAACCTCCAGGTTGAAATAGTCCTATTTTCAGAAAGAACTTATCTGAGTAATTTTCTGAGGGAGTTGCTAAAAATGGGTCCAATCCTGTATATGTTCCCAGTGAAATTTTCCAATTGCAAACATCCATTTGGGCGTTGGGAGGAGCAGGGAGGAGACTCTGCAGCACCCGCCATTGTTTCCAAAATGTGTGTGACAAAACCCCGTGCAGAAGAAAACAGAGATAAGGCCTGACGCTGCGGTCAGGCCCTGCCCGGCGGCCGGATCCTGGGGCAAAAAAAGACGCGTCCCTGCGACCAGGAACCTTGTGTGCCGGGTCTCGCTTCCCGGGTGGCTGGGGGGAAGAATTTAAGAGCGGGACCGCGAGCCGCGCTTGTAAACAGACAGCGGGGCTGGGATGGTCGGCGGCCAGACGGGCTGTCACGGTGAGGCGGGCTTGCTGCGAAGCCGAGCCCCAGCCAGGAGTAGGCTGCAGGCCCCGCAGGTGAGGGGAGAGGCCCAGCCGGCGGCCAGGGGAGCATCCGCCTGCTTCTGTGCTGCCTGGCTGGCCAGGGGGGAAGGGTGTGGGGATGACAACGTTGTAACAGATATCCGAGGGTATCCCTGGGGTGGCGATGATTTTGCTGTTTCTTCCGTACTCTGGTTTTGATTTCGTGCTGGAGACTGCACTACAGTGGCGTGGATAATGGGCGAGGGGAGATTACATGATGCATTGTCTGCTGATTTTTAGACATCGGGTATATAAGTAGAAAGCAGTTTGAAATAGCTGATCCCGTCCTGTGCGTTGGTTTTAGTCTCCCTGCTTCCTGGGTCCTAGAAACCAAATCTCAGCAGAGCCTATCACTCACATCACGCCGGGTCTCCTCGAGCAACAGCGATTGTTCCCTCTGTGGACTCCGATCATTTTTAATGTGTAGTAAATGATACTGTGTGACTGATGACAAGCATGATTTGGTCTTCTATGAGAGGATTACTAAGCTAAAAAATCAGGATAAGGAAATTTCAGACCCACTCAATAAATGAAATAAATGGCTACTGAGATATATAATTGAGGGTAAACTGAGATTGGTCTAGATTTATAGCTTGCAAAGCAGGGCAGATTTGAATTTAACAGGTTAAACTGAAATTGAGCTATGCTGTTGTAAACTCATTTGGAAGTTTTTTCCCTTTTTTCCTCCTTGGAAAAGAGAAACACTTTTTTTTTCTTTAATATTTTAATTTCAGTAGTCATAGTGAATTGCAATGTGTATTCATTCATAAGGTATTTTATTATAACCTGACTACGTGTAAGCTTTAATTGTACCTATAATCAAATACAAGGCAGTTTTCATTTCATTAACTTCGAAAATGCCTTCACCAAAACTTGGGCTATATATAGACATGTCTCCATGACATAGTCTAACTTTTAGTTAGTAGAAGAGTATTAGATTAAATTGCACATAGAAAGTGTTTTGTGGGCGCCTGGGTGGCTCAGTCGGTTAAGTGTCTGCCTTTGGCTCAGGTCATGATCCCAGGGTGCTAGGATGGAGCCCCACATCCGGCTCCTTGCTTAGCAGGGAGTCTCCTTCTCCCTCTGCTGCTGCCCCTCCTCCTGCTTGTGCGCTCTCTCTCTCTCTCTGTGTCAAATAAATAAATAAAATCTTTTAAAAAATTAGAAAAAAAGAAGTGTTTTGAAAGCAAGTACATCAAAGAGGTAATATAATATTAATGCCTTATGAGTTTGTCTTTAAAATGAATATTTTCACAGTGTAATGGTTCATAGCAAGAACTATAAAGCCAGGCTACCTGGATTCTAGTTCCTGTGTAGCTACTTCCTATTGTATAATGTTGGGAAGTTACCTGCTGTGTTTCCGAATTTATAGACTGAGCTTAATAATAGTACTGATCTCATAGGGTTGTTATGAGGATTAAATGAATTAGTATTTTTAAAGCATTAGAACAGTACGTGTAATAATTGCTGTACACGTTTGTTAATAAATACATAAGGGGCACCTGGGTGGCTCAGAAGAGCATGTGACTCTTGATCTCCGGGTCATGAGTTCAAGCCCCACGTTGAGTGTAGAGATTACTAAAAAATAAAATATTTCATTGATTTTTTAAAAAATACGTATAATAAAAATAAACCAGTGTTGAAAGTAGAATGGTGGTTGCAGAAGCTGGGGGAGGGGCAAAATGGAGAGTTTTGTTAAATGAGTATAGTTTCAGTTTTGAAGATGAAGAGTTCTATAGATTGGTTGCACAACAATGTGAATGTACTTATTACTGAACTGTACACTTGAAAATGGCTGAGATGGCAAATTTTATAGGTATTTTCCCACGATTAAAATTTAAAAAAAATATCAGTGTTGGCAAAGTTAGGTACTAAAAATTCTTTTTTTAGGAGGGGGAGGGGCAAGGAGAGGGAGAGAATCTTTAACAAAAATTTTTTGTTAAAGATTTTATTTGTTCATTTGACAGAGTGAGAACACACAAGCAGGGGGGAGGGGGATAGGGAGAGGAAGAAACAGACTCTGGGCTGAACAGGAAGCCGGATGCAGAGCTTGATCCTAGAACCCCGGGATCACGATCTGAGCCAAAGGCAGACGCTTAACCAACTGAGCCACCCAGGTGCCCAGAGAGGAAGAGAATCTTAAGCAGGCTCCATGCCCAGCACAATGCGGGGCTCAATCTCACAACCCTGAAATCATGACCTGAGCCAGAATCAAGGCTTAACCGACTCGGCCACGCAGATGCCCCTCAAAATTCATATTAGCACACAGTAGCCCCATCCACAGTTGCCTTTGCCATTGTGAAAATGCAGCTTCTTACAGTCATCAGTAAGGTTCATTTATCTGGTAAATTCATGCAATTGAGCTTTATCAAGAGCATGAACAAATGGTAAGAAATGGCAGGCAGCATTTTAAAAATGCCCCTCGACCAAGATTGCATGCCCTAATCCGTGCAACCTGTAAAGATGATGAATTACCACTCTTGACTATATTGTGTTATAGGACACAGTTGAATTTAAAATGGGGGAAATACCTGAGTAGTCCTAATCTAATCACAGGAGCCCATAAAAGTGGAGAGCTTTCTCTGGCTGGGGAAATCCAAATGATTTGAAGCTTGAGGAGGAACAACATACTGTTGATATTTTGAAGGTGGAGGCAGCACTTGAGAAGGAATGGAGGAGCCTTGAAGAATGCAGGATGCCTAGAATGCTGGGGGTGGCCTAGCATGGAAACTGGAACCTCAGACTTGGGGGCACAACCTAGGAACTGGACTATGCCAACAACCTGAATGAGCTTAGAACTGGATTCTTCACCAGAGCCTTTAGATAAGAGTCCAGCCTGGCCAACAACACCTTGATTTTGGTCTCTTGAGAGAGACCCTGAACAGGGAACCCTGTCAAGCTCACCCGGACTTCTGACCTTCAGAATTGTGAAATAAGAAATAGGTGTTGCTTTAAGCTACGGAGTTTGGGGAAATCTGTTATATAGCCATAGAAAACTAATACAGACTCCAGCAGAGAAGTGGGCAAAAGACAGGAACAGACTATCCATAGAAGAGAAAATTAAGTGACTAATAGACATATGAAAATACATTCTCTTTTCATTAATCAAAGAAATGAGGTTTGGAACAACAGCAGGGCCCCATTTTTCCAGCTCTTAAATTTACATAGATTGTTAACAATTTCAGTTCTTCACATTAGTTAGTGTGCAGTGGAGCAGATACTCTCAAATGCTGTGAGGGGTGAGCAAATGGTATAACCTTTCTGAAAAGCTCATTGGCTGAATGTATGAACAGCCTCACTAATGCTCCTACCACTTGACCTAATACTCCTAGCAATCGATCCAAAGGAACTTAGGAATATTTTTACAGTTAATGTTCACAAATGCTTAATGTAGCTTTGTTTTCTCATACATTGATGGATTTTAGGCTTTAGGCTCTAGACCCAGGTTAATTATACAAGTGGAAAACAAAGAACTGTGATGGATATGTAACCATTTGCAAAAAGAAAGACATCTGCATGTTCTGGCTAGGAGAACCAAGCTGGACCCAGGCCGGTAACATCTGCGTTACAAAACACCCAATGCTAATATTCATTGAATATTTATCAGATACTTGACATTCTCTATTCCAGTTTAATCATGTATGCAGCCTTTCCACAATACTTGAAGCCAAGCTATACATTTACATATTTAAGAAGCAGGTAGGTAGATGGGTACTACTTTAATTACTTGTTTCAGAAGACCTGATTTTAATAGGAACCTGGAAAAGATTAAATCATTTGGGCAGATTTTTTAGGACTCTCCATCTCTAGACAGTTTCCAGGAGCAGCAGAGCACTGATACTCTTTCATTTTCCCCACTGGTTCCCTTTCCTATTTTCATTTTGCTCTATTGTCACACACCTACAAGAAATGTCCAGAAACTGTCTATTGCTCCATTGGCACTAGCCAGATGGTGATTTTCTTCATGGGGAATGTTAATCCCTTAGAAGAAACCGTGTGGAAGGATGTCTAGCAAGGAATTGCTTTTTTCTTCATCCTTTTTCTTTTAAAGTGATTTTGTATTTGGTTCATAAGTAGCTGAACCGCATTCTAGCTTAGAACTTCTAGTGCAAGCTAAATAATTCTGAGAACTGACTACTGAGTGCCACTATGATAAAAATGACCACCGGTAGTAAATTTCATTCCTTGTGTATGCTCTCCTTCGTTGGCTACTGTAGATATTACCAGACAGACAATAAAAAGCCCACATAATTTACCTTCATACTGACAATAAGGTAAAGATTGTATTTGGTCTGTGGATGTAATTAGTCTTGATGGCAACGTGAGTTATGAGCAAAAACTAACGTTAAAATATTGAAGCCATTGTATTGAGATGTCAGGCATGTTATTTTCATTAACATTTTGTTTCTTTTTCATACACATTAACTGTTAGAGTTATGTGTTTCAAATTGGATTCTCCGATTATATGCCATGTTTGTGAGTACGGTAGAGATTTGTTTGTCCAGTTACCTTGATTAGTGTAACCAGTTTATAATTCAGTACAAACTAAAGCTGCCTGGTTCTGCGTTATCCAGTTTACTTGTGAACATTTATCTAATGGGGAAATTGCTAAATATCCACTTTACTTTGTGGCTTGTATATGTGATTGTAAATGTAGGTTTCAGTCACAGAACAGGGAACATGTTAGAAAACATCAGAAAGGTAACCAGCAGTTTTCATGTTCCAGGAAATTGACTAAATGATATTTTCCCACGTGTTCTTGATTCATTTGAGTCAGCACTTTAGCTTTTCCAGAACAACTTCTCTTCTACCCTCAGGGAGTCATTGATTATTTGACTGAACAAGTAAGAGTTGAGCACTTGTTTTGTACCGTGACACATAGCTCTTGTACTTGGAGCCAGGAGCACAACTTTGAATAAAACAGGCACAGTCTCTGCCTTCATGAAAGTTATGGTTTAGTGGGGGAGACAGACAAGTAAACAGGCCAATTTACA